ATAATATTAGACTGGTGAACAGAACAGAGCCACACACTTGATTTTGGGTGTATTTTGCTCTGTTAGAAGAAAATGCCTCCTAAAATTTTAAAGAAAGAAAAACTTGTGTGTGTGTGTGTGTGTGTGTGTGTATACACACAAATATAAGGATAATATATATAAGGATATATATACAAATATAAGGATAAACATGATGAAGAGATGGAATATGACTGTAAAGATGAAAATTTTAAAAGATTCTAAAAAAGGAATTGATAAGATAAGAAGTTGGTTGAAAAAGGCAAAAAAAAAAGAGGAAAGAATGTGATTGAGCTGGAGACCAGAACAAAGCCATGTCCTAGATTTAGGTTATAGTTTGATCTGTTAGAAGAAACTCTATCCCAAAATTTTAAAGAAGAAAAACCTACATGTATACAAAAAATAAAGTCAAATACAATGAAAGGTTAGAGTATGACTATAACGGGGCGTCTGGGTGGCTCAGTGGGTTAAAGCCTCTGCCTTCGGCTCAGGTCATGATCCCAGGGTCCTGGGATCCAGCCCCACATCGGGCTCTCTGCTCAGCGGGGAGCCTGCTTCCTCCTCTCTCTGACTGCCTCTCTGCCTACTTGTAATCTCTGTCTGTCAAATAAATAAATAAAATCTTTAAAAAAAAAAGAATATGACTATAACGATGAAAATTTTAAAAGATTTTTTAAAAAGGTATCTATAAGAAAGAGTGGTTTAAATGGTTAAAATAAGGAGGAGGAAATTTTTTAAAAATAGAATGAGAAAAAAATAAAATTTAAAAAATTTAACTTTGAAAGACTAAAGAATAATGCGGGAAAAAAACCATGAATTCTGTGTGTTGCATTCCCCTAGTTCTGGAGTTCCGCAGTTCTCATTGCTCAGTAAAATTGGTCTTGGCTGGTTTTCTTGCTAATCTTCTGGGAGAGGGGCCTGTTGCAGTAATTCTCAAATGTCTTTGCCCGAAGTGGAATCTCACTGCCCTTGCCAGAGGCCAGGCTAAGCAATCTGCTCATGTTTGCTGTTGGGAGCTTTTGTTCCCTGAACGCTTTCTGTACAGCTTTGGAGGACAGGAATGAAAAAGGCAGCCTCCCAATCTCCGGCCTGTAGGAGCTGAAAGCTCAGGGCCTCATTCCTCAGTGTGTCCTGAGAGAAAAGCAATTAATCCCTCCCATCTCCCTGGTCTCTGGCCACACTCTATGCTCACCCGGCCCATGACTAAACATTTCTATCTCTGGCGCATGGCCCCATTTAGAGTCTCCAAACCCAGCAGATTCCTGCAGCACATTCCCATGCCACTCCTCCTGGAGGAGGAAGGTGAGTCTCCCCAGATCTACCACCCATGGGGTTCCTGCTTGAAGAGCAGTGGCCTGACTGTGCCTGAGATCATGGTTTAATGTAACCCTGAGCTGAGAGCACCTTGTTGCCTCCGTCTCTGCCACCAGCTTCCCTGCTCCAATACCTGGGAGCACTGCCACCCCTGGTCAGATCCCCCTGGTCTTTTGTGACCCTGTGGGTCCTGAGACCACACTGTCCCCACTTAGCCTCTGGAGCGATGTCCCTCAGTGGAGCAGACTTCTAGAAGTTCCGATTTTGTGCTCTGCTGCTCTGCCACTTGCCAGGAGCCGGCCCCTCCCCCCACCATCTATCTTCCCTTATATCACCTCAGATTCACTTCTCCACACGTCCTACCTTCCAGAAACTGGTTGCTTTTCTGTTCCTAGAATTGCTGCTATTCTTCTCTTTGATCTCCTGTTGAGTTTGTACGTGTTAAGAATGGTTTGATAACTATCTAGCTGAACTTCTGGGACCTGATGATATTTAGGTCTCCACTCCCCCACCATCTTGTCCCAGAATCTCGAAAATTGGCTCTTAAGAGAAATCTCAGGCAGCTGTCATGACCTAAGTAGATCGCTTTGTTCCACTACAGAAATACTTCTCTCTAAGAGATCTGACCTAGGGGTGCCTGGGTGGCTCAGTCATTAAGGATCTGCCTTAGGCTCAGGTCATTATCCCAGGGTTCCTGGGATCAAGCCCTGCATTGGGCTCCCTGCTCAGCAGGAAGTCTGCTTCTCCCTCTCCCACTCCCCCAGCTTATGTTCCCTCTCTTGCTGTGTCTCTCTCTGTCAAATAAATAGATAAAATCTTAAAAAAAAAAATTTAAAAAATATATGACCTAGACATCCAGACTCTCAGAATACTCTTTCTTCCAGGTGGAATTGGAAAATTACTGACAAACCTCAATTTATTGTTTTATCCACTTTATCCAAGAACTTGAAGCCATGTGCCCAAGATGATTCCTGCCAGGAATTGGGAGTACAGGAGTTTGAATTCCAGTGATCTGACTCTAGCCTCCTTATCTTTAACTATCACCCTACTAACACACAGCACTCTCTCTCATGTTTATAATGGGAGATAGAAGCACAAGAGAGACTAAGAAGCTTGCCTGAGTCATCACAGTGAGTCCCAAATGGTAAAAGTAGATTATCTTTTTAAAAAATCACATATATTTTTAAGTTTATTTATTTATTTATTTACTTACTTACTTATTTTTAGTAATCTTTATATCCAATATGGGGGTCGAACTCACAGCCTTGAGATCAAGAGTCACATGTTCAGGGTGCCTGGGTGGCTGACTTGGTTAAGTATCTGCTTTTGGGTCATGTCATGATCTCAGGATCTTGGGATTGAGTCGGGTTCCAGCTCAGGGAGGAATCTGCTTGTCCCCCTGCTTATGCTCTCTCTCAAATATATAAATAAAATCTTTTTTTTAAAGGGGCATATGCTCTTTGAACTGAGCCAGCCAAGTTCCCCCAAACTAGATTACCTAGTTGGATATGTGTGTAGGTCTTTCCTTTGTTAACCTCTTGATTTTTCTAAAATTCTCTTTGAATAGTTTCTCCTGTTCCCAGCTACACTACAGAGTAGTAAGGGGAGGTCAGTGTGGTGACAGAGGTGACCACTAAGAACCCTAGAAGGTAAAGGGGATCTTGAATAGTCTGGCCACCCAATCCCACTTGGAGACCATTCTCAATCTACAAACCCTTGAGATTAAAGTTTTATTTTATTTAAAAAAGGAAGTGACTTTTGTTTTGTTATCTTTTTTGTTTTGTTTTTTAGTACTAGCAACTATACTGTATATGAATATGATTCTAGGCAACATATAGTATTATGCCCATGATTGGAATTTCTGTATCATATGATAATTCTATTTTTAATTTTTTGAGGAAACTCCATACTGTTTTCCACAGTGGCTACACCAGTTTCATTCCCACCATCAGTGCATGAGGACTCCTTTTTCTCCACACTCTCTTGAATGCGTCTTATTTCCTGTGTGTGTGTGTGTGTGTGTGTGTGTGTCCATGTGTGTGTGTTTAACTATTCTGATAGATATGAGGTGATATCTCATTGTGGTTTTGACTTGTATTTACTTGATGACGAGTGATGTTGAGCATCTTTTCATGTGTCCACTGGTCAACTGTGTGTCTTCTTTGGAAAAATGTTTGTTCATGTGTTCTGCCCATTTTTAATTGCATTATTTGGGGTTTTGGTGTTGAGTTGTATTCCTTTGTATATTTTGGAATTTAACATTTATCAAATATGTCATTTACAAATATCTTCTCCCATTTCACAGATTGTCTTTTAGTTTTCTTGATTGTTTCCTTTGCTGTGCAGAAGCTTTTTATTTTGATATGGTTCCAATAGTTTATCTTTGCTTTTATTTCTCTTGCCTGAGGAGACATATCTAGAGAGAAATGGATTAAGGACCTAAATTTGAGACCTGAAACCATGAAAATCCTGAAAGAGAGCACAGGCAGTAATTTCTCTGATGTCAGCCATAGCAGCATTTCTCTAGATATGTCTCCTCAGGCAAGAGAAATAAAAGCAAAGATAAACTATTGGAACCATATCAAAATAAAAAGCTTCTGCACAGCAAAGGAAACAATCAAGAAAACTAAAAGACAATCTGTGAAATGGGAGAAGATATTTGTAAATGACATATTTGATAAAGTGTTAAATTCCAAAATATACAAAGGAATACAACTCAACACCAAAACCATATCTAGAGACATATCTAGAGAAATGCTGCTATGGCTGACATCAGAGAAATTACTGCCTGTGCTCTCTTTCAGGATTTTCATGGTTTCAGGTCTCAAATTTAGGTCCTTAATCCATTTCGAGTTCATTTTTGTGTATATTGTAAGAATGTGGTCCACTTTCATTCTTTTGGGTATTGCTGTCCAGTTTTCCCAACACCATTTGATGAAGAGACTGTCTTTTTCCCATTGCATGATCTTGCCTCCTTTGTCATAGATTAATTGACCACATAATCATGAGTTTATTTCTGAGTTCTCTATTCTGTTCTATTAATCTATGTGTCTGTTTTTGTGTTGGTACCATGCTGTTTTGATTACTATAGCTTTGTAGTATATCTTGAAATCTGGGATTGTGATACGTCCAGTTTTGTTGTTCTTTTTCAAGATTTCTTTGGCTATTTTGGATCTTTTGTTCCATACAAATTTTAGGATTATCTGTTCTAGTTCTGTGAAAAAATGCTATTGGTATTTTGATAGGGACTGCATTAATTCTGTAGATTGCTTTGGGTAGTATGGACATTTTAACAATATTTGTTCTTCCAATATGATCATGGCATATCTTTCCATTTGTTTGTGTCATCTTTAATTTCTTTCATTACTGTCTTATAGTTCTCAGAATATGGGTCTTTTACCTCCTTATGTTTATTCCTAGGTATTTTATTATTTTGGGTACAATTATAAATGGGATTGTTTCCTTAAATTTTTTTCCTACTACTCCATTATTAGCATATAGACATGCAACAGATTTGTGTATATTGATTTTATATACTGCAACTTTATTTAATTCATGTATCAGTTCTAATAGTTTTTTGGTAGAATCTTTAGGATTTTCTGTATATAGTATCATGTCACTTATAAATAGTGAAACGTTTACTTCTTCCTTACCAATTTGGATACCTTTTATTTCTTTTTCTTGTCTGAAAGACAAGCTTCATGGTGCATTTCAACAGACTTGACTTCAGTTGTAACATTGACTGGAGCAAAGGTGACCACCATGCCAGGTTTAAGAACACCAGTCTCCACTCGGCCCACAGGGACAGTGCCAATACCACCAATTTTGTAGACGTCCTGGAGAGGCAGACGCAAGGGCTTGTCAGTTGGACGAGTTGGTGGCAGAATGCAATCCAGAGCTTCAAGCAGTGTGGTTCCACTGGCATTCCCATCTTTACGGGTGACTTTCCATCCCTTGAACCAAGGCATGTTAGCACTTGGCTCCAGCATATTGTCACCATTCCAACCAGAAATTGGCACAAATGCTACTGTGTCGGGGTTGTAGCCAATTTTCTTAATGTAGGTGCTGACTTCCTTAACGATTTCCTCGTATCTCTTCTGGCTGTAGGGTGGCTCAGTGGAATCCATTTTGTTAACACCAACAATTAGTTGTTTTACACCCAGTGTGTAAGCCAGAAGGGCATGCTCACGGGTCTGCCCATTCTTGGAGATACCGGCTTCAAATTCACCAACACCAGCAGCAACAATCAGGACAGCACAGTCAGCCTGAGATGTGCCTGTAATCATGTTTTTGATAAAGTCTCTGTGTCCTGGAGCATCAATGATGGTCACGTAATACTTGCTGGTCTCGAATTTCCACAGGGAGATATCAATGGTGATACCACGTTCACGTTCAGCTTTCAGTTTATCCAAGACCCAGGCATACTTGAAGGAGCCTTTTCCCATCTCAGCAGCTTCCTTCTCGAATTTTTCGATAGTTCTTTTGTCGATCCCGCCACATTTGTAGATCAGATGACCAGTAGTGGTAGACTTGCCCGAATCTACGTGTCCGATGACAACAATGTTGATATGAGTCTTTTCCTTCCCCATTCTGGCTTAGGTTGAGCGGTGGTTTTCACGACACCTGTGTTCTGGCGGCAAACCCGTTGCGAAAAAGGTTTTTTTTTTTTTTTAAGGTAGGCTCCATGCTCAGCATGGAGCCCAATGTGGGGCTTGAACTTAAGACCCTGAGATCAAGACCTGAGTTGAGATCAAGAGTTGAATGCTTAGCCAACTGAGCCCTTAGGTGCCCCTGAAGAACTGACTTTTAAAATTATTTAAAAAATTTTTTTAAAGATTGTATTTATTTTTTAGAGAGAGAGAGAGCACACACATGAGAGAGAGTGAGAGCACAAGAGAGCAGGAGCAGGGGCAGGAGTGGGGGCAGGGGGAGAGGGAGAAGCAGGCTCCCGGCTAAGCAGGGAACCATATATGGGGCTAGATCCCAGGACCCTGGGATCATGACCTGAGCGGAAGGCAGACGCTTAACCTACTGAGCCACCCAGGCATCCCCTAAAATTGTATTTAATTTAAATATAGTCACAGCTGACGAGTGGCTACTATATTGGATGGCACAATTCTAAAGTATTTTTCAGTAAATATTTGTGTGGTTTCCAGAAAGAAGCCATGTCACATAATAAAGTGGCAGGCAAATTGTTTGCTGAGTTGTATGTAGATAACCTTAATTTGTAAAAAAATAAAAAATAAAAAAAATAAACTCAGTAGGTGGTTGCATTCTCTATAAAGAGTTTAAAAACAACAAAAGCTGGCTAAATGTCATCACTGTTTTTACTACCTTTACATGCTGACAATTCTAAGCAATGTCAGTTACAGAGTACTCCTCTTTGCCAGGGTGGACGGCAGTGGTTTCTGCTCTGCCCCCTTGGTAAACCAGCTCTTCTCCACAATACCTCACACGTATATAAGGACAAAAGAAAATCAAATGGATTAGTGTATGTGATGGCTATTAGAGTTATTCACAAATGAATGGTTCTTCCTCTCCTATCAGACACATGGTAAGATTTCACTTCCTTACCCCTTAATCTCAGACTTGCTTCTGAAAATCTCAGCAGAAGCACTAAAAGCCAGGGCATGCTATACTGTGCTCTCTTTGCCCTTTGCCTTGGGCACATGGCAATGTTCCAGATAGCAGCTACTCCAATAGCCTGGTTTCTAGAGAGGGAACCGTGATGAACCTTCATGATGAACCTAGTATGTGCAAGAAATAACCTTTTATTTTAAGCCACTGAGATTTGGGGGAATGCTTTTTACTATAGCTTAATCAAGTCTGCCTTACTGATACAATATACCTACTAATATCCCTTAGCAATTTCAGAATTTAGAGATGAAATCACAGCTCAGAATCAAAAGGATAAAATGAACAGTTGAGTTTCCAGAAATTACTCTATAGAAAGTCACCTTCAATAATATTTTTATTTGGGGCGCCTGGGTGGCTCAGTGGGTTGAAGCTTCTGCCTTCGGCTAGGGTCATGATCCCGGGGTCCTGGGATCGAGCCCTGCATCAGGTTCTCTGCTGAGCAGGGAGCCTGCTTCCCCCCTCTCTCTGCCTGCCTCTCTGCCTACTTGTGATCTCTGTCAAATAAATAGATAAAATCTTAACAAAAAAAATCTTAAAAAAAAAAAAGAATATTTTTATTCCAGGGCACCTGGGTGGCTCAGTTGGTTAAGCGACTGCCTTGGCCTCAGGTCATGATCCTGGAGTGACGGAATCAAGTCCCACATCGGGCTCCCTGCTCGCCAGTGAGTCTGCTTCTCCCACTGACCTCTCTCCTCTCATGCTCTCTCTCTCTCTCTCTTTCTAAAAAATAAATAAGAAAAATACTTTAAAAAATATTTTTATTCCAATATAATTAACATATAGTGTTATATTAGTTTCAGGTATACAATATAGTGATTCAACAATCCTATACTCAATTCTCATTACAGTAAGTGTACTTTTAATCCCCTTCACCTATTTCACTCATCCCCCCCATGGTTCTCCCCTCTGGTAACCACCAGTTTGTTCTCTGTATTTGAGTTTGATTTTTTTCCTTTTTCTCTTTATTTGTTTCTTAAATTCCATATATGAGTGAAATCATATGGTATTTGTCTTTCTCTGACTTATTTCACTTAGCATTATACCCTCTAGATCCATCCATGTTATTGCAAATGACAATAATTCATTCTTTTTTATGGCTGAATAATATTCCATTGTGTACGTTTATATACAACCTGTTCTTTATTAATTCATCTATCAATGGACACTTGGGTTGCTTCCATATCTTGGCTATGTTAAGTAACGCTACAATAAACCTAGGGGTGTATATATCTTTTCAAATTAGTGTTTTCATTTTCTTTGTGTAAATACCCAGGGGTGGAATTTCTAGGTCATATGGTAATTCTATTTTTTCACTTTTTGAGGAAACTCCATACTGTTTTCCCTACAGTGGCTACACCAGTTTGCATTCCCAACAACAGTGCATGAAGAGTCCTTTTTCTTTCTTTCTTTCTTTTTTTTTTAAGATTTTATTTATTTATTTGACAGAGAGAGACACAGCGAGAGAGGGAACACAAGCAGGGGGAATCAGAGAGCGAGAAGCAGGCTTCCTGCCAAGTAGAGAGCCCACTGCAGGGCTTGATCCCAGGACCCTGGGATCATGACCTGAACCAAAAGCAGCAACTTAACAACTGAGCCACCCAGGTGTCCCTGAGGATTCCTTTTTCTCCACACCCTCCCTAATGTTTCTTGTGTTCCTGTGTTATTTTAGCCATTCTGACAGGTGTGAGGTGAAACCTCACTGTGGTTTTGATTTGCATTTACTTGATGGTAAGCGATGCTGAGCATCTTTTCATCTGTCCATTGGCCATCTATGTGTCTTCTTTGGAGAAATGTTTGTTCATGTCTTCTGCCCATTTTTAATTGCATTATTTGGGGTTTTTTTCAGTGTTGAGTTGTACAACTTCTTTATATATTTCAGATATTAATCACTTATCAGATAGAGCATTTGCAAATGGCTTCTTCCATTCTGTAGGTTGTCTTTTATTTTCTTGATTGTTTCCTTTGCTATGCAGAAGCTTTTTATTTTGATGTAATCCCAATACTTTATTTTTGCTTTTGTTTCCCTTGCCTGAGGAGACATATCTAGAAGAATGTTGCTAAGGCCAATGTCAAAAATTACTGCCTATTCTCTCTTCTAGGATTTTCATGGTTGCAGGTCTCACATTTAGGTCTTTTATCAATTTTGAGTTTATTTTTGTGTATGGTGTGGGAAACTGGTCCAGCTATAAGTTGTTTTGCTTTTTTAAAAGATTTTATTTATTTGACAGAGAGACACAGAGAGAAAGGGAACACAAGCAGGGGGAATGGGAGAGGAAGAAGCAGGCTTCCTACCAAAGAGGGAGCTCAATGTGGGGCTCCATCCTAGGACCCTGGGATCATGACCTGAGCTGAAGGCAGCCGCTTAACAACTGAGCCATAAGAGCAGAGTAATGATGGTTAGCAATGAGCTAGCAACCACCCTCCATTTAATATAGTATGGATTCTGATAGAAAAATGGACAAAAGCTTATAAAGAAAGGTCACTGTAAAGCAAACATAAGGCTTTTTTTTTTAAGGCCAACATTTTTTTTTTTTTTTAAGATTTTATTTATTCATGTGACAAGACAGAGCGGGGAGAGAGAGAGAAAGAGAGAGACAGGCAGGCAGAGGGAGAAAGACTCCCTGCTGAGCAAGGAGTCAAATGCAGGACTCCATCCCAGGATCCGGGGATCATGAACGGAAGGCAGAGGCTCAACCAACTGAGCCATCCAGGCGCCCCCAAACATAAGACTCTTATGAATAAGGCTCAACTTTACTTATTGAATTAGTTAGGGTCAAGCTAGGCTAGGTTGCCATAAGAATGAACACAACTAACACAGCAGCTTAACACAAAATATTCTCACTTGTCCAGTCTGATAGGGATTGAGCAGTTTTCTTCCATCTTGTAGCTATGCTATTTGGATTATTGGCCTCCACTGGTATACCAACCCTTGTCTTGGAAGAAGTAATAAATCATTTGTGTTCATTCCAAGAATGTGATAAAACTCCTACCTAGGGGTGCCTGGGTGGCTCTGTGGATTAAAGCCTCTGCCTTCAGCTCGGGTGATGATCCCAGGGTCCTGGGATCGAGCCCTGCATCGGGCTCTCTGCTTGGCAGAGAGCCTGCTTCCTCCTCTCTCTCTGCCTGCCTCTCTGCCCACTTGTGATCTCTGTCAAATAAATAAATAAAATCTTAAAAAAAAAAAAAAAAAAACAACTCCTACCTAAATGTATAAAGGATCAGGAAAACACAGTTTAGGTATGTCCAGAGGGAAAAAAAGGCTATGATGCGTACATGGCTTTGCCTCTGCCACATTCTTAAGTGCAAAAATGAAACTAGGTAAGAATACCATTTTTCCTATCAGATTGGCAGAGCAGAATCTCTGCCAATAGTTTTTAACTGCCATTCTACTTCTAGGAATTTATCCTACAGATATACTGATATATGAAAAAAATTTTTGTAAAAGCAACAGACTGTAAGTAATTTTAAATGTTCTTTGTAAGTGGCCACATCAAATTATGATGCATCCATTATGATGGAATACCATACTGTCATAAAAAAGAATGAGGAAGTGCTTCACGAAGTGATATAGAACAAGCTTCTGTAACTAAATGAAAAAAATCAGTATTAACATTTGGGTAAAAAAAGTATTTTTTGTGCATGTATGAATCTCCTGATGAAAATCCAAAAAAACTGATCGGATTGTCTCCAGAGGGGACCTGAGGAGACTTTTACTGCCAACCTTAATTGTACCTTTTGAATTTTTAGACATGTCAATGTATTAACTAATCAAAATTTTAACTTAATCTTGTCGGGAGGATATGAATTCAGCCAGCCACTTTGTGACCTTGAGCAAGTTGCTTCATCTTTAGGTCTGTGTGCTCATCAGCAGAAGAGAGTTATTATTAGTACAACCTGCGTTTGTGGGGTTGTGAGAAGCCAACTGCTCTATTTCTAAAGAAAATTTCAATTGATTTGGGTGTTTTTTAATCACACTTAGAAACACTGATGTAAACAAGAGCTTGTTGGATTGTCAGGAAAGCCTCTAAAGTGACATATAAGATCTGGGAGTTTTCTCATCACGAAGGCATTAGGAGAGTGCTTGGCTTGTCTGAGAACAGCAAAGACGCTGCAGTATCAAAAGGAGAGTAGGACATGAATTCAGTGGTGGGGAAGTGGGCAAAGATCACATAAGTCATCTAGGACTTCAGCTTCCAGCACTAGACTGACAACACTTAAATAGCTACAGTATGGACAGCAAACTATAGGGTACCAAGAATAGAAGCAAGCCCTTTTTGGAAATAAGGAACACTGACCTTTAGCTTGAACCCTCCCCATTGTCTCTTTCCCAAATTAGCGTTGTTTGAAAAAAACATTTAAATGGGTTTTTTCTAATTCACGCAAGGACCAAAGAACCAAGAAGAAAAAATTCTCAAGACTAAATACTATACATTTTATTTTCTCTCAAAGTGACTGTTTCTGCCATTACAATTTTTTGTAGGTTAGGGTGTTTGGCTTGCTTATTAGCATTAGATGACAAAAGATAACAGGTCCATTTTAGTTTAATAAACATTTATTCCTTTAGTTGAACAACCTCTACACACAAAATATATATATGGTTTAGGATCTTTTTGAGTGGAAAAGGAATTTAGGTCTCAAGAGGTTTTGAGTCTTTTTCTGGATATCATTTAACTGAGCCTAAGACCCCTTAAAAAAATATAAAAACTGGTTCAAGGAAACCAGCAATTAGATTTTGAAATCAAACTATGGATTAAGTTAGCAAACTTAAAAATGGGGCAATTCCTCTCCTGTAGTTCCTACACACCCAAATTCAACCTGGAAAACAAAAACCTCATCTACTGGAAGACAAAATGGACACAGAATAGTGGTATACTTAACATCAAGGTGGGCACAATTGATGGACTGGCAGATTTTGAGGGGTTTAAGGATGAGAAAAATGACTGGGGTAACACATGTAGGATTAGATTGGAAACTATAAACTTGTATTGACACCAACTACATGACTTTTCTCAATAGCCTATGGGAATGTTTAAGTGGGTTGACCCAAGATGACTTAGGACTTGGAATGAGCAATGACATACTTTTAAAGCCAACCCCATTTTTTCTCCTGAGGTGGCTAGTGGATTCATAAAGGTCACAAAGACCATGGATAAAGTATTTAAGATTCTAATCAAAGCCAACTTTAATTTTTTATCCTCACACTTGAAAGGTTATCTGAGGGCCACCAGTTTCCCAATTCTAGCACTAATTACTAGCTTACGTATCTTAGTCTTCTCATCTACCTAATGTTCTATTTCCATCAGTTTTCATAGAGACCATTAACTAACCGCTTTGCAGGAAATTCAGGATTCTACAGATCCTACGGAGTCATGGGATACAACTAGGAGCCTCCACATTTTATGTTAACTTCAACAGTCCTGTGGAGACCAGGCAATTTTGCTTTGGTTAAGCAGGATGTATTTTCATTTTTAAAAGAACCCTCCTGTATCAGGTAGGTTTATTCAATTCTCTTAAAAAATTGGTGGGATTCTTCTGGATTCTTTTTAAGTACCCTTTCCAAAGCAACAGTTACATAATTGGAATATTGGATTCAATATAAAAAATGTAGTTCCTAGTTAATGCTGTTTGCATATGATCATGATTAAAGATTAGGATAGTCATCACATTTCCAAGCAAGATCCAGTTTTAAAAGTTTCTTCTTTCCAAACCCCTAATAACAGCCATTTGAGAGTAAACCAGAGCATTACATCACCCCAATGAAGCTGTAGGTTTCGTTACATGCACCAACAAATCTACATGGCTAGCTTATGCATTCCACTTTTACAGAATTTATTTTATACCTATTATACCAAACAGTATTTTAAACACTGACATATAAACTCCCTAATAAGATAAAGCAAAGACAAAAGTGTTTATCTTATTAGAAACAAGATACACCATCACTTATAGTCTTCAAACATTATTGCACTTTAACTTTCATAATTTGACAATGCATTCATGGAACAATGTGCAGACAACTAAATTTAACAGACAAATTAAAGAACACTTTTAAGCAGACATGACTGTCCTAAATTGTTTATTAGGTAAGAATTTTACAAACATTACTTTGATTAGCGGTAACGGTGGAGCTGGAGAGTATTGCGTCTTCTCCATGCCGCACGGCGAGAACCACCAATAGTGTGGTGGAACTTGTGACCCTTTCCAAGGCCACGGCTCTTTCGGCCTGCAGATGTTAGCCCTCGCATCTCCCTGTGCTTGTGGACTGGTTTGGTGATCCACTGGGTGTCAGGATTTCTTCTGATAGCTTTATGGAATGGATCAATGAGGATAACCTCAAAGAATTTGTATGTGGAATCTTCACCAACCCAGTAAGAATTCAAGACTCTTAGAGCCCCACAGTGACGTCCAGCTCGCTCCTGTAACAGGAAAAAAAAGACTCAAGGTCAGCCTATTTCCCACAGTAGAAAATTAAAAAGCATCCCCTTTAGTTTACCATACCAGACAACAAACTGACTAGGGCTGTTCACTTAGCTACCTGAATATTTACTAAGCATCTTCCCTGAAGCTAGGACCCCAAATATGAGTAAGACTTACTACAATAAACACATGAAACATTCTTATTTGAAACCACTGCCTATTATCACCCTCTCCTTGACCAAGGCACAAATGTTAGTAATATCTAAGAAAATTTAGGAACCTAGTCCTTTTCTAAGACAACTGAGGGATCAGTGAACTTTTCATACAAAACCTTAATAATGAGTGTATTATTTTAGGCTTTGCATGGTCACAATGGTCTTTTTAATATAAAATGTCTTTGTCTTTTAAAAATAAAAAATTTTCAGTTTACAGAAGGCAACAAACCCTTGTTTGTCAACCTCTGGGAGAGAGCACAGCTTCATTTACTAACCCAGAAAGACAACTTAGAACTGAATATCCGAAATCAGCCATATGAATAAATGCACAGATTCTATACACCTGGGGAGATATGTTCTTAAAGGCAAAGTTTAGGGGCGCTTGGGTGGCTCAGTAGGTTAAAGCATCTGACTTCAGCTCATGTCATGATCCCAGGGTCCTGGGATCAAGCTCCACATCAGGCTCTCTGATCAGCAGGGAGCCTGCTTCCCCCTCCTCTATCTCTGCCTACTTGTGATCTCTGTCAAATAAATAAATAAATGAATAAATTCTTAAAAAAAAGACAAAGTTTACTTCCCTTCAAAAGCTTAGGTTTCAAGGCTCACACTAACCTTAAAACACGTTCCATTACACACAAGCAAAGACACATTAATAACAAAGACTATGACTTTGACAGCAACACTTTACAAAGGTGCTCAAATTCTTCTCCACCATCTCCAGATGACTGATACAACTGCTGAAAAATCACTTACCTCTGCAACAGACTGAAGGCTTCGTGCAAACTTTAGCTGATTAACACCATGATGGACAGGCTTGCCGTAGGTAGCACCCTTAGGAACTGGGCGTTTGCGGCCACCACGACGCACACGAATCCGATATATGACATAACCTATACAAACACATTTACAGTGGTCTTATAAAAGCCAGACGGATGAAGACTCAGTAACTTGCTACTAAATGCTGCAATGTCGAATGTATTTTGGACTGTAAGGCAACTACTATATACCTGAAGATAAAATAAATTACCACTTAAGACTTACTCTAAAAACACACACATTCCAGTGTTTTTCGAAGTACTTTGTGACACAAGAAGAATAACTTCTCATTCCCATTCTACACGGAGCCATAGTATCTCTAAATACCAGTCTTCTAGCATTTCCCCAGGAACACAATTTTATCCAAGGATCCATACAGAGACCACTCACCTTGCTTGGCCTTGTACCCCAGCCTGCGTGCTTTATCGGGCCGGGTTGGGCGGGGGGCCCTGTGGAGCGCAGAGAGCTGGCGGTACTGCCAGCAGCGCACCCTGAGAAGAAAGCGCATTACATCGGACTGCTTCTTCCTCCATAGCTCCTGGATGTACTTGTAAGCGCCCATCTTGGCCTACCTTTGAGCTTAAAAAAAAAAAATCATGCATTTAAAATATGAGACGATCGCGTCCGTCCATCTTAGTTCCCCACCAGCCACAAGAAAACCACTGAAGCTGAAAACGGATCTCCATGAGCTGCAGGGAATAGCTGCGCCCTAGCAAAACAGCTCTGTCACCTCTGCGACTCTAGCGCGGAGCCGCCCAAGAAGGGTCTCGGTACTTTTTTGTTTGATGAATGAATGGCACCAGACCTGAGCACTGAGGAGGGCCGCTGAATGCGGCAGTCGGCGTCCCCTATGGCCTGGCCTGCAAAGAAACCTCGCCGATACCATAGGGAAAGGTGCTGCGGCCGTTATCCCCGAAGGATAAGTCTCGAGGAAAATCCATTACTGCACTCAATCCACAGGCCTCGCTTTAGGACCCTCTAGGCCCGGGCTTCCTTTCCTCAGCCCCATGCTTCCTTTTCATTCACGTTACAGGGCCCGCTCGAATTCGCGCCGCCATCACATCACCACCCCAGCCCGCCCCGGGAGCCGCCTCTCCAAGCCCGCGCAGCCCCGCACCCTGATCGAACTCGCGCCGCACAGGAGACAGAAGGAACTCCAAGGACGCAGGGTCCCCGAGTCTGGATGGCTGAAGCGAACGGAGATGAGCGGCGGATGCAGCAGCGAATACCACCAACACAGCCTACCTGATGGCTGCCGCCCGACGGAAAGGAAAGAGCCTTTCTCCCACAATCCCTTTTGGGCTCCTCCCCCTCAGCGGCGAGCCTCTTTCCGGTGGAAAGCTTCGGGTCTCACGGCCTCATGGGACATGTAGTTCCGGCAGCGAGCCTGGTGGGCGGAGTTCGGCCCGGATTGGACGCAGCCTCCCTTATTATCCCGCCCCTCTGGACCTCAGGATTTGAGTTTAAGACGCAGGGGCGGCTTGGTGAGGCCTCGGCTGGCCGGCGTCCGCAACGGTCTTGAATCCGGGAGGAGGCAAGTTGGGGCCGGGGCTCACGTGGCCGAAACGGGTCGTGGAGCCGCTCTGCCAGAGCACCGCGTCTTTGGAGCCTGTGGAGGTGTTAAGGTTTGTGTCTTGAGGTACAGGGAACAGCTTAACGCGCCGCAGGCTCCTCACCTGGGGAGTCGCGGCGGCTACCCCAGTGCGGCGCTATCTATCCCCCTTATCCCACTAGCTGCACCCCAGCAAGCCAAATAACACGCGCGTGCTGTCAGGGCTTCACGGGTGGGGGCGCGCGCCCCGCCTTCGGGCTTCAGCCTCTGCAGGCCCGGGCTCCGAGGGATTTTACCCTAAAGTAGGGTCGGAGGGTGGGGAACTGGGGGGCTAGGGAGGGGTGCGCGGGTGGCTCGGCGCCTTTCCATTTTCGTGCCTTTCCTGCCGACTTGGTCCCAGATTTGCTACGTCAGAACCAGTTTTTTTTCCCCCCCCCCAAGAAAGGCAAAATATTTTTATGCCAAGACCTGGTTTGCAGGTGCGAGTGTTTGGGGAAGAAATAACGAGAAAATGCTGGCGTTTTGGGTTGAGTTCTTTTATTGAGAAACAGTTAACCAGTTTTTTGCGTCTCCAGAATATTTTCATTTTTGATGCAGTCATGTAGTTTACCTTCTAACTTATTAGCGGGGTTTTCCCCTATTTTCCTTTTTTTTTTTTTTTTTTTTTTTTTTTTTAAATTGTAGCTTTACCATTGCAGGAATCCTCACATGGTTCATTGATTTATTCAGCAGATATTTATGAAATGCCTAATACGTGCCAGGTAGTGTCCCAACTGCTGGGGATGCAGCAATAGTGAACGCAGAAATTCTAGCTTTCTTGGAAATGGGCAACAAACATAAATAAGATATATATTATCTTATATATATATATGTTATATATTATCATATAGATATATATTATCTTAGATATATATGTTATGTATTGTCATATATATATATACATGTTCGGTAAAAAGTACTAAAGACAAACGTTAAGGGGAGAGAAAGGATAGTGTTGGCGTGGGGGTGGGGTCAGAATTTTGGATGAAATATTCAGGATTAGTCTTCTTGAGAAATAACATTTGAGGAAAAAAACCCGGAAGGATGTGAACCTTGGAGATTTGGGCTGATTTCAGTCAAAAGGAAAATTGCCAAGGCTAGAGTATGCCTTAATTCAGACAGAAACAGCAAGGAGGCAGTGTGGCAGGAATGAACCGTAAGGGAAACTAGCAGATGACAGGAGAGCGATGGAGGTTCTTAAGTTTTCACACTGCCTGAGATCAAAAACTATTGGAAGATTTTAAGCAGAAGGGTGACTTCTTGTGACTTACATTTTTAAAGGATTATTGGGATTGCAGTTTTGAGCCCAAAAACAGGGGAAAATTTGAAACAGAGAGACTAGGAAGTTTTATTAGTTTCTTTTTGCTAATTACAGCAAACTTACTGGCTTAAAATATCACAAATATGTTGTCTTACACAGGTCAGAAATCTCTGTAGGCTAAAATCAGATTGCTGTGTTCCTTTTAGAGAAGCTAGGGGAGAATCCATTTGCTTGCTTTTTCCACTTTTTTTTTTTTTTTTTTTTTTTTAAGATTTTATTTATTTATATGAGAGGAGGGGGTAGGGACCAGTGCAGGGAGAGGAGCAGAGGGAGAGAGATAAGCCGATTCCACATTGGAGGGCAGAGCGGGTTGAGGGGCCAGTCCAACGATCCTGAGACCATGACCCTAGCCAAAACCAAGAGTGAGATGCTCAACCAACCGAACCACCCAGGTGCCCCTGCTGTTCCCAGCTTTTAGAGGCCACCAGCATTCTTTGGCTCCTGACCCCTTCGTTCATTTTCAAAGCCAGCAGTATAGCATCTTTGTATTCTGTTTCTCTTTCTGACACACTTCTCTCCTTATAAAGATACATGTGATTACACTGGGTCTACCCAGATAGTCCAGTATAGTCTCCCCATCTCAAGGGTCTTAATCACAGCTGCAAAGCTCCTGGTACTTTGTAAAATAAAATACTCACAGGTTTTGGGGATTATCACATAGACATCCTTGAGAGACCAGGTAAGAGAAGTTGGTGCCTCTGATCACTTCATTAGTGGACCTGGTAAGTAAGTGGTCCAGTCCTGGATGTGTTCCAAAGGTGGTGGCTTTACTGGTGGATCAGATGTGGGGTACCAAAAAAAAAAAAAAAAAAGAGTCAATGATTGGCTATAAAATAATTAATTAATTAAAAAAATAAAGGGATGCCTGGCTGTTTCAGTCGGTAGAGCATATGACTTTTTCTTTTTTAAGGTTTTATTTATTTATTTGACAGTGAGATCACAAGTAGGCAGAGAGGCATGCAGAGAGATGGGGGAAGCAGGCTCCCTGCTGAACAGAGAGCCCAATTTGGGGCTCGATCCCAGGACCCTGGGATCGTGACCTGAGCCGAAGGCAGAGGCTTAACCCACTGAGCTACCCAGGTGCCCCTAGAGCATGTGACTCTTGATCTCAGGGTCGAGTTCGAACCACATGTTGGGCATAGAGATTACTTTAAAAAAAAAATGACTACAAAGTTGGATGAATCATTTGGAAAGGAGTTCTGGCAATGCAAATAATTGCTGCTAATTCCTTAATTAGTTTTTGCCGTTTTGTTTCTTCCTTTGCAATTTGCAGTTTCTTAGTAGTTTTGCAAGATTTGGATTGGTATTTTCAATTGACTCTGAGATTGCTGAGGACGGGTATCATTTCTGGTTTTGCCCTCCTACTTTGTCCCTCATGAGTGGCATTATGGTAAGACCTCAGTAAATATTTAATGAGTAAAAGAATGGTAGGGTAGAATCTGCTCATTATATTTTATTATGTGCAGTATTGTTTACAAAACCTTTTAAATGTATGTTTATGTAAAATTTCATATATGGATAAGTGTTGCACACAGTACCTGATGTTTGCATAAATAAATACACAGTGTAAAAATTTTCTCCATGTGAGGCTTCATAATATGATTATAACATCTCTCTGTGATGTTGTTTCAGTATGAATATTGTTTTAGTAGCATAAAAAAAAAGTTGTGTTTAACTTCTAAAAGTAGAGTGATTTCTTTAGAAAAACAGAAGTACTGGCAGTTTCGAGCAGCTGTTTCTGATAGCTCTTTAAAGGGGTTATTGACCAAGCTCAGTGTTTTCCACAGGAATGGATCAAGTCATGTTTTTATTCTCTAGAAACATCATTGATTAGCCTGGAAAGCAAAGCAATATGCAGTTAAGACTGCATTGGATTTTGCCTGTTAAGCCTGTCCTCTCAAGTCATTTATATCAGATGAGGATTAATAGGTCACAGATTGAATTTTATTGTTCAGCAGTTACTTAGGGTAGGGACTGTACTAAGTAGTTCTAACTAGTGCTTTACAGTAAACACTAACTGGGGTGCCTGGCTGGCTCAGTTAAGTGTCTAACTCTTCAGCCCAGTTCTTGATCTCAGGGTTATGAGTTCAAGCCCTGCATTGGGCTCAATGCTGAGTGTGGAGGCTACTAAAAAACATTAGATACTATTCAAAAAAATTAATACTTTCATTAGCAGGTTGTTAACCTTCAGTTTTAGGTAATATTGTTTCCCACTTGACAACGACTTAGAACCTAGAATGTTTCAGCTGTGCTTTGATTAATCATATTTATCCTTTCATCTTTGTTTTGTTTTTAATGGTATAAAATATTTAACATGGATTATTCTGTTTTATCTTGCTTCTTTCCTTATGAAATACCATAAAATCCTTACCAAGTGTTTGAGTACCCTCTGTTCAATTATTTTTACTGTTTGCCTTTGATGGAGATTCTCTGATAGACTAAAACAACTCCCCCAGTTTATTTATACACACACATACACTAAAAGTAGTGTGTACCTTCAACACACTTCATCTGCTACTCCTATTATCAGTGAGTGATCAAAGTATAATTGTATGCCACTTTTAGTTATGTATATAGTTTTTAAAGATCTTATTTATTTATTTGACAGAGAAAGACACAACAAGAGAGGGAACATAAGCAGTGGGAGTGGGAGATGGAGAAGCAGGCTTCCCGAGGAGCAGGGAGCCCAATGCGGGCTCAATCCCAGGACCCTGGGACCATGACCCAAGTTGAAGGCAGATGCTTAACGACTGAGCCACCTAGGTGCAGCAGTAGTATGCCACTTGTAAAGCAAGTATATTAAGACCACTTCCTAAGAGTGGAGTATTCGATTGGGATTTCTCAGGATTCTGTTGGTTTCAGCATTTTCCCAGTTTGCTGGAGTCCCCAGAACTCATATTTGCCTCTCTTTTATGGGGAGTCTATTGCTGTTAATAATTGGGGTGTTTTTTTCTTTTAACTATCTGGTTCACTTAACTGCAACATGTACCTGCCCTTTGTGTTTATTTGAAGATTGATAGGATATGTGGTAAAGGGGCATTTTCTTATTGAACAGGAAAAGAAGAGAAGGTAAGGTATTTAGAAATTCTGCAGGGACTAAGACATTTTCAGAGGATGGGAAGTAACAATAGAAAAATTAGAATTTAGATTCCAGTAGCAACCTTTACTGACAACGGAATTGCTCTATGCTGCCATCATTTTTCTTATCTGACAGATTTCTTTTTCATCCTTTTGGTTGGTGGCATGTGGTTAAGTGGCAACTTCCTTTAAATTTTAACTGTTATCATTAAAAATGCTTTGAAAGAAAGATTCAATGATATCATAAACTTATAGGAGATCACAAAATGCAAAAAGGGTAGAATCCTACAATCAATGAGATGACATTAGATTAATCATAAATTCAGGTGTAGAAAACCTTTTGAAATAGTCCATAGCTGCTGACATAGGAGATGTCATACCATAGATGATCAGTGTGTCACAGAGCTCTCCTCTTACAAATAAAGGCTGAGAATTTTTCTATTGCAGTTATGTTGAAAATATATTTTTAAAAATGGTGCCTGGCTGGATCAGTTGGTAGAGCATGCGACTCTTAATCTCGGGGTCATGATTTTGAGTCCCACATTGGGTATAGAGATTACTTTAAAAATTTAAAAATTAAATATATATGTATTTGTGTGTGTGTGTCCCTTAAGAGAAGTAGTTCTCATAGAAATAAGTGATAAATATTCTTGGGAAGATTTGGAAGGATCCCAAGCATGCCACCAGGAAATAATGGCTACATTGCATTAAGTGATGATTATTTCTCTACTGGTAAAATGTACTGTACTGCTCTGGAAATGAGTGCTGTGTTATTACTGTGCTGCAATAAATTGTAGCAATAAAATTTTTCCTGTCAGTAGATTGGTGTTGTGGCTAATTTGGGTTATAAAAATTACAGACTTTTGGGGGCACCTGGGTGGTTCAGTCAGTTAAGCATCTGCCTTTAGCTCAGGTCATGATCGTAAGGTCCAGGGATTCAGCCCCCCATTGGGCTTCCTGCTCAGCGGGGAATCTGCTTCTGCCTTTTCCTCTGCCTACCGCTCCCCCTGCTTGTTCTCTCTCTCTCTTTCCGTCTGTCAAATAAGTAAATAAAATCTTTTTTTTTTTTTAAGATTTTATTTATTTATTTGACAGAGAGATCACAAGTAGGCAGAGAGGCAGGGGGGGGGGGGGGGGGAAGAAGGCCCCCCACCGAGCAGAGAGCCTGCCGCGCGGGGCTCTGAGATCATGACCTGATCCGAAGGCAGAGGCTTAACCCACTGAGCCACTCAGGCACCCAATAAATAAAATCTTAAAAAAAAAAAAAGCATGACTCAAAAAGAAGCATGAAAAAGAGAGCCCAGTTTTTCACTCTCCTGAGAAAAGACGGGTGGCATTGATAGCATTAATGTTTCTCTAAAAAATCATGTCCATTCTCTACAAATTTTTGTCTTCATGCCTCCTTAAATTTTTGTTTGAATGTTGGGTTTTTTCCAGGTAAATATTGATGAGCAGGTAGTGTCTTTCAAGGATTGGTTTCATCTAGGATTTGATTTAGATTCCTGTAGACTTAGTGTTGAAATATTCTTTGAATAAAAATTTTTTTTTAAATAAACATGTATTTGTATCTACATGTATTCTTGTGCTTATCTAGATTACCTCTGCAAAAATGTGTAAGAAACTGGTAACACTGATTGCTCTAAGGGAGCAAATGGGAGACTAGGAATGGAGTTTGGAAGGCTATGCCTTATTGTATATATCCTTTTTTATTTTTGGCATTTCCCCCTGCATATGTATGACTTATTTAAACATAGAAAAAAGGAAAAACGGTTGATTCAAACAGTATACAGTTTCACAGATCTTTTATTCTTTTCACAGTGGCATATCCTGAGAGAAGATGGGAAAGGGCTGCAAGGTTGTGGTTTGTGGCTTGTTATCTGTGGGGAAAACGGCAATTTTGGAGCAGCTTCTTTATGGGAATCATACTATTGGTAAGATTATTTTTCTCTAGTTTCTCTGTAGGTTCTGGGAACTGTTCAGGGTCTTTTGTTGCCATGCTAACCTAAAGATGGGTAATGGTACCAAAAGTGAAGTATAATCCATAAGGACTAAAGGGTTGAAGTCAACAGAAACTGAAAGGCAGGGGAAGTAGGGGAGAGAAAAAAATAATATTTGTCATGGAAATTCAAGAGTATTTGCTGTAAGTTACAATAGGTAAGAAAACAAATGTGTGTGTGCATATGTGGTTTTCTGTGTATTTGCATAATAAATAGTGGTCTTGGAGTCCTAGAATCACTGATCTAAGAATACGCTGAACAATGATCTGTCATTCAAGTTTCAAACAGGACTTTCCAATTCTGCTATAAAAGTTTTAAAAATGGAAGAAACTCTTATTTGCTCTAATATGACCTAATTTTGTGAATTGGATTATCACATTCATTTTTCCATTCATTGAGTTAAATAATTAGTAATACTTGCTGTATGATACAGGCTGTAATGAGACCTTTTGAAAGTGCAGAATTGAAGAAGACCACATCTCTGTCTTTTTAAAAAAAGATCATCATTTAGTAAGGAATATAGACACTACAAGTTAGAATGAAATGAGGTTTGTTAGATAAGTGGAACCATGGATCTTCAAAGTATTTATCTCTAGCAAGTAGCTCAGAGCACATTTCTTTTATTGACCCATCTTGATTAGCTCTGCTTCTCTTTCAGCTTCCCAAAATAATAGTTAACAATTTTGGTTAAATCCGTATTTGGTTTTTATTATGATGCCAGTGCCTACAGTTCTCAAACTTTTGGTTTCAGAATCCCCCTGTCACAAATGCTGCACTATGATTTCTCCCCCCTCCCTTTTTTTTTCTCTTTAGAGATGGGGGAAGGGAATAAGGGCGAGGGAGAGACAAAATCTTAAGCAGGTTCCAGGTGGTGCTCCATCTCACAACTCTAGGATCATGACCTGAGCCAAAATCAAGAGTCAGATGCTTAACCGACTGAGCCACCCAGGGCCCCTGCACTATTGATTCTTAATTTTTTTTACCTCCCAATTCTAATTTATGCCTGTGCAAAAATAAGTTATGTTCAGGGGATAAAATCTCTTTATCCTCTTAAAACCCCAAACAGGTTTTATGTATGTAGGCTTTATCATTCAATATTTTTACTGTGTTAGAAATTAAAACTGAGGAATTTTTAAAAATACTCATTTATTGCTTAAAATAATAAACATGTTATATGCTAAGATAACATTTTTATGAAAAGTAATTATATTTTCAAAAAAGTGAGAGAATGAGCATTGATTTACATTTTTTGAAAATCTAATGTTCAGCTTACTAGAAGGCAGCTGGATTATCATATCTACTTGCTTTTGTATTTAATCAGTTGTGGTATTTTTTTTTAGTTGAAATATATGAATAAAACCTGCCTCACACAGATAAATCATTGGAAGAAGTAGGAGTATGTTATAGCCTTTCCAGATAATTGTGGGTATTCTTTGCTATTTCACTAAAACTCAATAAGTGATATTTACTTAAAGCTTGTTGGAAACCACATTAGTAAACTTTTCTTATTCTATTAAAGTAAAACCTCATTGATCCATCTTGAACTATAAATGGGATTTTTACCCAGTACTGGTTTTTAAACATCATAAATTGTGCGTTTGAAAAATATTGGCTCACTGAGATAAGCAGATCTTCCAAATAACATTTATTAATATCATCACCAGTCTTATCAGTATTAAGAAGCTATCAAGTTCGTGGTGATGGGTACAATTCTCATTTTCACTCAAAAGCTCAAATTTTATCATTGACAACAAATATTGCCAGTTATATTTCTCAAAAATGATAAGCTCCCCTTATTCATTTTTAGAAAACATCTATCGGGGCGCCTGGGTGGCTCAGCGGGTTAAAGCCTCTGCCTTCGGCTCAGGTCATGATCCAGGGTCCTGGGATCGAGCCCCACATGGGGCTCTTTGCTCGGCGGGGAGCCTGCTTCCCCCTCTCTCTCTCTGCTTGTCTCTCTGCCTACTTGTGATCTCTGTCTGTCAAATAAATTAAAAAAAAAAAAATCTTAAAAAAAAAAAAAAAAGAAAACATCTATCAAATACCCCAAATAACATAGTTTTCCTGTCCTTCCTTCTTTAAAAAAAAAATTGGCTAGTTCAATCTGCAACTTAAACACAAGAGCTTTTCCTCCAATTACCACAATTCATCATGCAGAATACTTTATGCATTAATGACACAGAATATTTAAAAATGTAAATGTGTATACTCAAGATTTGAGATTTAATAAAATAAGTAAATTTTTACTGATTTGTCAAGGACATTCTTTTTTTTTTTTTTTTTTAAAGATTTTTTTATTTATTCATTTGACAGATAGAGATCACAAGTAGGTAGAGAGACAGGCAGAGAGAGAGGAGGAAGCAGGCTCCCCGCTGAGCAGAGAGCCCGATGTGGGGCTTG